GAGTGAGTGATTATTAGTAGAATTATAGATAGAACATAACTCCGCAGTGTTTAAGATTGGTTAGAGAGAAGCGATCGTACCGTACGAGGTAACTGCTGGTAGGCAGAGGTAAGCCACTAGCGCCCCGCACATACAAATCATCGTCATCACCGGATCGGGCCAATAACGAACATGAATTCATCATCGTCATCAGTCGTAGGAGTAAGAGCAACAGATTCGGAGGCTGCAGCAGCAGATGATGATCATCATGAGATGATGACTGCGGAGCAGAAGGAGGCTAAGCTCAACGAGTGGTTCGCCGTCACCGGTTCCCGCAATGGCAATTGGCTCTTCTCCGTCTTCCACAACGTCACCGCTCTGGTCGGCGCCGGCGTCCTCGGCCTCCCTTACGCCATGGCTCAACTCGGCTGGTATTCTATCTCAATTCCTTTTTTTTTTGTATGACCCGCGATTTCATAGATCAGATCTCATACATTAACATTAAAAGACACAGGGGTTTTGGATCGCATCAATTTAATTAATTAGCAGTACACAGTGACATTCTCTAGAGATAGATCTAAATTAATTAATTGTGTATGTATGATGATGAATGATTTCAGGGGACCGGGGATAACAATACTGGTGTTGTCGTGGATCATAACATTCTTCACGCTGTGGCAAATGGTGGAAATGCACGAGGCGGTTCCGGGGAGGAGGTTCAACCGGTATCACGAGCTGGGGCAGTACGCGTTCGGCGAGAGGCTGGGCCTGTGGATCGTGGTCCCCCAGCAGCTGATGGTCCAGGTCGGGACCAACATCGTCTACATGGTCACCGGAGGCAAGTCCCTCCAGAAGTTCTACACCTCCGTCTGGGCGCCGCAGCCCGCCGGCGGCAAGCCCATTCGCACCACCTACTTCATCATGATCTTCGGCGCCGTCCAGCTCCTCCTGTCCCACATCCCCAGCTTCAATGACATTGCCGGCGTCTCTATCATTGCCGCCATCATGTCCCTCAGGCCTGTCTAGATCTTACTCTCCTCCATCTCTTTCAGTTCAACTGTCAATATATGTGATAGTGTTATTTAAGTAAATTCTCCTATATGCATATGTAGTTACTCAACGATCGCATGGGTGGCATCTGCGAAGAAGGGGGTCCAGCCCGACGTGAGTTACCAGCCGGTAGCATCCACGGGGACGGGGAGGGCGTTCGGGTTCATGGCGGCTCTGGGAGACGTGGCATTCGCGTACGCAGCCCACAGCGTGGTGCTGGAGATCCAAGCCACCATCAAGTCCACGCCGGAGAAGCCGTCCAAGGGTCCCATGTTGAAGGGTTCTACCTTTGCCTACATCATCGTCGCCCTCTGCTACTTCCCCGTCTCCATCGTTGGCTACTACGTCTTCGGTAACTCCGTCCAAGACAACATCCTCATGTCCCTCGAGAAGCCCCGATGGCTCATCGCCATCGCCAACATCTTTGTCTTCATCCACGTCGTCGGTTCTTATCAGGTACTCCCCTCATTCCATATTAACTCTCACCATTGTCACTTTATGGCTACATTGAAAAAAAGAATGAATTTAGATATAGTGCATGTCTACATTCATTCATTTCTTCAATGTATCAAGAAAATTATAATGAACATATATATAGTTAGTATGGAATGGAAAGAATATACATAGACACACAATTTAAATAATGATTCATTAAGTACACACACATGACATGCATGGCTTTGTGGTTAGAGCTAATTAAAGATTATAAAAGTGGACGATAATTTTGAGATCAAGAAAGTGTATATATATGTGCATGCATTGGATCAACAGGTGTTTGCCGTGCCGGTTTTTGATATGCTGGAAACATATTTGGTGAAGACAATGAAGTTCAAGCCGAGTCGGCGTCTCCGATACACCACCCGCTATATCTATGTTGGTACGTGGGTTATTGTTCTTATGCAAAATTTTACTTCCACTACAATTATATTTCCTGCGTTCTTTCATAAAAAATTTTCTCATTTGATTTTTGACCGTTTCCGATGCAATATTTGGACTACTAATATTATATATAAACATATATCATTAACAATATACTTTTTCCGTCTTAAAATTAACTTCTCATTTGATTTTTCAAAATCTTCAATATAACACTTTGATTATTAATATCTCTATTTACATATAAATATATATTGTAAACTAAAATATTTGAAAACTATGTTTCAAAATTAATCTTGAAACTAATTATATGAAAGTTCGATGCATTTTTTTGGTGATATGCAGTCAAAGTTTAAAAGTTTGACCATAAAAGTCAAACTAAAAAATTAATTTTAAGATGGAGGAGTAATATTTTAAAATTATACCAAGTACTCCCTCCGTTCCTTTAAACACTTCCACTTTTGACTTTTGCCAAAAATAAAGAAAGTGTAATTTTGGTTGACTTTCCAATTATGCCCCTGATGTGATGGGTAAAAGTAAGATGTGATAGTTTGGTTATTAGAGAAAAAGTATGATGTGATAGGTAGGGTATGAAAAAGTAAGGGTAAAAGTGGTTTTTTAATAGAAAGTGAAAGTGTTTTAGGGAATTCAAAAAAAAAAAACGAAAGGGGAAGGGTTTTGTGGAATGGAGGGAGTATTTCAGAATGAATCTAACGATATTAAATTAATATGGTAATTCAAAATAATACTCCGTATATTTTTTTATAATATGATCAAAGTTTAAAAAGATTAACAAAAAAGTCAAAATACTAAATATTTTTTTTAAATTATGAAGAGGTAATATTTTACTCTATATGGATATACTCAACATATGTATGTCGAAAAGCTCTTTTTCACCATACGGAGGTGAGTTTGGTTTCTCGAAAATCTCCTTTTCAACAAATGAGTTTACAAATGTCCAAAAACCATTCCTTCAAAAAAGAGTTAATAGTCCGTAATAATAATGTCCAGACTACGGTTATGATATTTTTAAAAATTTATCATAATAATGTTGTATTGTATATGACATTTGCATTATTAAGTAAGAAGAACAACTAAAAATAGTTCTCAAATAAATCTGGAAGAAGCTAGAGAGTATATACCGAGTATAGTATAAGCAAAAGCATTACTCCGTATTAATTACTCGATCCCTAAATAATTGCTTGTTATCGAGTAGATACGTTACATTTTCTAGCTTGGCAAGTTCATTACAAATTGAAAGTCTGGAAGCGTAATTAATTAATTACTCCATACTTCATCCATCCGGTGCCGTGCAAGGGCTTGAAGGAGGCTGGCATGAGGGAGGTAGTGACGCCTTCCCTCAAGCCGCATAACATATGCCCTTAAGGAAAAGGCTATCTTTCTAGCTAAGAAATATTTTGTCTACAACAATAAATTTATAAAAATTTAACATGTCATCTTAGTTTAGTTTATTGTTTGGATGATGCTGCAGGGGTGACAATGTTGATAGGGATGACGTTCCCATTCTTCGGCGGGCTCCTCAGTTTCTTCGGCGGCTTTGCTTTTGCTCCCACCACATACTTTGTAAGTAATATATACTCCCTCCGTCCCAAAAAGAATAGGACAGTTTGATTTTTTGGGAAATTAAGGGAAGGATATTTTGGTATTGACTTTCCAAAAATACCCTTGATGTGATGGGTAAAAATAGGATGTGATGAGTAGATTATTATAAAAAAGGTATGATGTGATAGGAAGGGTATGAAAAAGTAAGGGGTAAAAGTCGTTTTTTAATAGAAATGTAACGGACTTTACGGGACGCAGTTTTTTCTAAACGTAACAAACTTTTTGGGACGGAGGGAGTAGATACTAGTTGACATATATCACTATTATGATCTCATGCATGATCGATTTTTGCACTAATATAATCAATCCTTTCCATATTATTGATATTATTATAGATTCCATGTGTCATGTGGCTCATTATTTTCAAGCCAAAGAGATTCAGCCTGTCTTGGACCGTCAATTGGGTAATTATATCTAAGTTGATGCATATATACATATATGCATGCATGCACACTTAACTAGCTTATACAGTACTTTAATTAATTAAATTCATTTGCAGTTGTGCATCATACTGGGGGTTCTGCTAACAATATTGGCACCAATCGGAGCACTGAGGCTCATCGTTATCCAATCCAAGTCCTACAAGTTGTTTTCCTGATCCTCTTATCACCTCTCCCGTGGGTTCCACCTCTAATTTCTCTCTATCAGTACTGTTTTCTAGTAGTAGCATTGTAAATCAATCGAATCGAATCGAATATCGAGATATTTAAATTAGTGTTTGTTTAAAATTTTCAAATACGAATACTTGTCCGGATACAAAACTAATTGAAAATAAGATTTGTATTTGTAAAGGATAGGATGGGAAGAGTTCCCAACAACCAAATTAAAGAGTTTCTATAAATACAAATATAGTTTGGCCCAATCACACAAAATGTGTGTATTAACCGCATCAACTAATTCATTAATTAACTCCGAAGTGCGCGGAGCATGCACGCAGTCATGGCCAACCTTGTCATGCATGCATCTCTTAGAGTATCCCTTCTACATGGAGAAAGTTGTTTTTAAATTATATATTTGGTGTTAAAAATATACGGATTAATTGGTTTAGAATTGGTTGCTATAATAATAATACTCCGTAATAAATATTATTATTATTATTAAAAAGGAAAAGTGTGAGTGGTGGGGGCTACCACTTACTTATTATTGGTGCCATTATTTAGAAAGGGCTTAGCTTGAGTTAGCCTTTGTTTTGGCCTCTCACGGCAATGTAATCAAACCCGGACCGGACGCCGGGTCGGACCGTGACCCGCTTAGACTTCCGGTCCGGTCTATTAGAGAAACCCATTTACCTTAAAAACCGGAAAGAACCGTCTGACCCGCCGAACCTGGCGACCCGGGTCGGAACGGACGGGTCACGAGTTAGGTTTATAATGTTAAAAATATTAGCTTAGCCAAGGTTCGAACACACCACCACCAGCCAAATAGGCACTCCAACCAGCTGAACAAAGACAAGATGTGTGATCCATGCTATACAACTTTAAATATATCCCGTAGAATTTAGTCATTTACACTTATTTATCATAACTGAATTCTTTTTTTTTGTTTTGAAAAAAGAGTTATGTAAAACAATATTTATTTTTCATCTAAAAATAAACATGAATCATTTATGCTTTAAAATTCACTTAACATTCTTAAAAATGAAATAATACCCTTAAGTATTTACTAATTATAATTTAATTAGTCAGAACTTAAGTGTTTTTATTCTATTTTTTCTCATTTCAATCACTTAAACATAAATTTAAAATATTTCAAAGTATGAGTATTTAAAAATACATTAAGTAGTTGTAATATGTATGGGTATGTTGACCGGGTCGTTGACCCGAGTTGACCCCGGTTCAACCGGTTAACCCTTGACCCAGTGTCTTGTCCGGGTCGACGTCCGGTCCGGTTTTCAGAACATTGACTCACGGTAGAAAAACAACAGCAAAAACAGAGAAGAAATGGGGTGAGAGCCGATAGAAGGAAGAAGAGAGAAAAAGAGAGGTGCAACTGGTTTTGTGCTCCGATCAATGACCAAACGAGCTCCGATCGGGATGAAATTTTAGTATGTTGTTCCTAAGATCCTCTTCTTCATATCAACCAGTGAGATTGATACGAATATCGTATCGGATAGGGAAGAACTTCGAGCGTTCTTCAAGCTCCGAGAAAGGGGAGGCAAAGAGAGAAGGAAAACTTCGAGCGTTTCCGAGCTCCAAGTGAATAGAGAAGGAGATTAGAATTTTGATATTTCTTTATTGATTGAATAATAATAATACGAGAGTACAATATATAGAGATACGAGAAATCCTAATTAACCTAATGGGAGTGGGCCCCATACTAAAACCTAATCATGAGTACCTATATAATTCTACTAATTAATAAATAACTAATTAAATAATATAATTCATCTTCTGTATCATTCCCACCCCCTTAAAAACCACCTTGTCCTCAAGGTGGAGGTTCCCACTCAAGCTTTTGGACATGTGAAAACGTGCTGAACCAGACAAGATGTCTAGTTGT